GAGACTTTGGGAGGCTGGGTGAAAAAGGTGAAGGTATTAAGATGTATAAATCAGTAGTTACAGAATAGTCATGGGGGTATAAAATACAGCATAGAGGCCCAGCTGGTATGGCTCTGTAGTTGAGCATCAACCCATGCACCAAGAGGTCGCCAGTTTGATTTCCAGTCAGGGCACATGCCCAGGTTGTGGGCCCATTCTCCAGTGGGGGGCATGCAGGAGGTAGCCAATTGATGTTCTCTCTTACTGATGTTTCTATCTCTCTCTCCTTTTTTCCTCTCTAAAATCAATAAAGAAAAAGAAAAAGTATAGCATAGGGAATATAGTCAATAATATTGTAATAACTAAGTATGGTGCCAGGTGGATATTAGACTTACTGGGAGATCACTTCATAAATGCTATAAATGTCTACACTATGCTGCACACCTGAAACTAACATAAAATAATATCAAATGTCTGTAATACTGAACTATAATTGACAATTTTTTAAAAAGGTGAGCCTGAGAAATCCTATGCCCCCGTGACTTAACCCCAATGAAAGCAGAATCTCAGGCCCAGGCCCGTGGGCTCTGTCTCTCTCTCTCTACCCATGACCTCGCTCTGTGGCCTCAGGCATGCTGTGTAATTTTCAGGTCTTATAAGTAAACCTGTATCTTAAAAGAGAGAGAGAAAAGGAAGGAAACCAGTTCTTCAGTCACACTGGCCTCATTTCATGTGCTCAGTGCTGCATGTGACCAGTGGCCAGTGTGTTGGACGGCACATTTATAGAACCTTTTTATCGCCACAGAAACTTCTATTGGACGGTGCTTCCCTAGATCCTCAAATATCTTGCTATAGTCAAACCATCACAAGGTCATACACATATTTGTACCATCTTATTTGTACCACCACCTCTTCTGCTTTAGAAACGCTCTTGACCTGTATTGAGGGACTGTTGAAAGAAACAGCCCAAGGATGTCCTGGCTGGTTTTGCTCAGTGGTTAGAGCATTGGCCTGAGCACCAAAGGGTTGTGGATTTGATTCCAGTCAAGGTCACATACATGGGTTGTACCTGGGTTGCAGGTTTGATCCCAGGCCCTGGTCTGGGTTCGTGCAGGGTGCATGCAAGGTGCTTGTGGTAGGCAACCAATCATTGTGTCTCTCTCACATTGATGTTTCTCTCTCTCTCCCCCTCCCTTCCTCCCTTCCATTCTCTCTAAAAATCAATAGGAAATATCCTCAGGTGAGGATTAACAAAAATAAAGGAAGGGAAGGGAAAGGGAAAGGGAAAGGGAAAGGGAAAAAGGGAAAGGGAAAGGGAAAGGGAAAAAGGGAAAGGGAAAGGGAAGGAAGGGAGAAGGGAAGGGAAAGGGAAGGAAAGAAGGAAGGAAGGAAGGAAGGAAGGAAGGAAGGAAGGAAGGAAGGAAGGAAGGAAGGAAGGGAGGGAGGGAGGGAGGAAGGAAAGAAGGAAGGAAGGAAGTCCAGGGGCTATTTCACAGCCTCATATCCCCACCATCTGCTCTCTGCTGACAAGATCAGAAGTAGCTCTACTTCTGGTTTATTCTCTTATATACACTGGTATCTTGTAACTGATCCTGTTTCTGTGTTCACACTGGCTCTAGAAACCTCAGAGCCAGAATCTAGGACAAACATGGTGCCCATTTAGTGAACCAGCCTCAGATCTGATTCCATCATTACCATCTTACCCTTATTTTTTCTTTGCCCCATTTTCCCTTTTATTGCTTTATTCTATCTTGCAAATTGTAGATCTTTATAATCTTATTTAACTCACTTAACACCATTCAGCAATAGATAAGCTATAAAGATCGTTCCATTGGCATGATCCCAGTTCTAAAAGTGACTCCCTTCATGTTCCTGTGAGGTGATGTTGACCCCAAATCTTTGTCTCTCCTAGAATCACAATGAGACCCAACCTTTGACTCCTGAGTCATATCCTGGGGTAATCTGGCCCTCCTCCTCCCCCTTTCCCTCCTCCCAATCCTTCTTACACAGAGGGGAAGGCATGGGGACACAAGGACAGGAGGGGGAAGAATGTAGCCTCACTCCAGTCTCTCACCCTCCCAGGACCTCTACCACCAGTCCTACGAGTGTGTCTGTGTCCTCTTCGCCTCAGTCCCAGACTTCAAGGAGTTTTACTCCGAGTCCAACATCAACCATGAGGGGCTAGAGTGTCTGCGGCTGCTCAATGAGATCATTGCTGATTTTGATGAGGTGACAACTCCAAGGGTCCCCTGGATCCTATGTCTAGGATTCTAGAATTTCCCACTAGTTCCTCCTCCTACTTTGCTCCTCTGGCCATGAGGATCATTTCGCCCCCTCAAGCCTTCCCACTTCTCCTCTGATGCCCCAGCTCTGCCTTCTCCAGCAACTCTGGTCACTAATGACTCTCCCTCCTGCCACCATCCCTGACCCCATAACCAGTCCATTAGCCTCCAAAGGCCTGGGGTTGGGCTTTAGGGAGAGAGGAGGGAGAGAGCAAGAGAGACTGGGGACACAGCCTCCTCTCTATACAGCTGCTCTCTAAGCCCAAGTTCAGTGGGGTGGAGAAAATCAAAACCATCGGCAGCACCTACATGGCAGCTACGGGCTTAAATGCCACCTCTGGACAGGATGCACAGCAGGTACAGCATTCTTCCTTAACTATCAACCCTCACCTGGGCTCTCATTGGTGAGTCTGTAAATGAGCCTTATTCCTGTGCCCTCATTGACCCATTCCGGTCGCTGGCCCATTGCCAGGATGCCGAGCGAAGTTGCAGCCACCTTGGCACCATGGTGGAATTTGCAGTGGCCCTTGGGTCTAAGCTGGACGTTATCAACAAGCACTCATTCAACAACTTCCGCTTGCGTGTGGGTAAGGGCCTTCCCTTGCTGGGGCAGTCTGGGACCTTCTCATCTTCCCAAGCTCTCCCTCCCCCAAGTGCTTTGGTATCTGCTCCCCAGCTCAACCCTGGACCTCCCTCCAGACTCATCCCTTGAGATGGAGCATTAAGTTTCTGGGCAGGGAACTATGATGCTCATCTACTCCCTTCTCTATGCTACACTCCTCCAGCCTCATACTCCTTTCTTTTAAGGCCCCCAGTCCCTTCTCCCTAGTTCCCTGAGCTTTTTCTTCTCCTCTCCCTCCTTAAATCTCCCCCATCTTTACCTCCTATCAGGGTTGAACCACGGACCTGTAGTGGCTGGAGTAATAGGGGCCCAGAAACCACAATATGATATCTGGGGCAACACGGTGAACGTGGCCAGTCGCATGGAGAGTACAGGAGTCCTGGGCAAGATTCAAGTGAGGGAACCACATTGGAGGCATGGGGGCAGTGGATAAGGTTAGGGCCATCCCCATACTCCCTCACCCTCCTCCAATTGCAGGTGACTGAGGAGACAGCCCGGGCCCTGCAGTCCTTAGGCTATACCTGCTACAGCAGGGGTGTTATCAAGGTCAAAGGCAAAGGGCAGCTGTGCACCTACTTCCTGAACACAGATTTGACACGAGCTGGACCTCCCTCAGCCACCCTAGGCTGAGACCCCACTCCCTACTCTTCACCTCAAAGATCCTCAGTAAAGAGACTGGTATTTCTGGAGCCAACTGATATCAGAAGCTGCTGATATAGCTTCTGGGATCACCTCCTTGCTTCTCAGCAGGACTGCTTTTTCCCAGGACAAACTAAGTGTGTGTGTGTGTGTGTGTGTGTGTGTGTGTGTGTGTGCGTGCGTGCAAGCATGAGCATGAGTGTGTGGGAGGGAGTGATTCTTTTCACAAGCTGGGGAAGAGAACTGCCTCAGCCTCCTTGTCTGCCTGCCAACCTGATTCCAATCTTTTGTAAACCTTGGAAATATAAAGAATTTTAGCCATATGACTCAAAACAAGGATTTGTCCTTTCCTGCTCTCTACCTACAAATAGTGGAGGAAATCTCCAGGAAAAATAGAATTTTACCTTTATTCATTCAACAAACACTAAATAAACACTCATTATGTGCTTACTATGTGGCATGGCTGAGAGGCCTTGGAAATAATCTATTAGGTCCCTCCCCGTTTCAGCTGCTGCTCTAAAATTGACCCACAATGCTTTCCAGTGAGGATCTGAAAGCAGTTATGGGGCTCTCCTATTATCAGGCCCCTCAGATGCCCCCCTGCTTTCTTCTGCATCCTTCTGCTGATATTATGTGGGTCTTGAAGCATCCATGGTTCATTCCCACCTTCTCATATTTTGGGGTCCATGAGGGACACCCTAGCTTCGTTGCTGATGTTGCACATGGATTTTTTTATTTTTCTCCTAGTTGCTCTTTCTTATTTTTTATGGGAAAGATTCAAAAAGGACACTACTGCAGCTACCGTCTTCCTAAAATGTTACTAGAACAGAGGCTCTAAGACAACAGTCGTTCCTAGAAAGAATGACTCATCCTTTGTACTTTGGGGACTCTTCATTTCCTAAGGGCCACCATAGTCACAGTACTGTCAGCCCCACCCTGTGCCAGAGTGTGTTTTAGGGGCTGACGAAATGCTGATGTGAATTCTAGGGGATAAGATCTGCTGACGTGGTTCAAGTGAGACCTCCTTGGGAGATGGGCCAATCTCCTAGAACATCTACCACTGAGAGGATGTAGGTTACTAGAAAAGTTGGAGTCACGTTAACAATGATAACTATCACTAGCTTCAGGGTAGAGGACCCACAGTAGTGCTAAATTTTCTCAGAAAGTGGGCTGAGCCGAGTCTGGAGTGATGAGCCCATATGAGTTGTCTTCCCCGGTCAGCTCCTTCAGGACTCTGCAAACTTGCGTTGTTCTAAGTATGATCTGCAGGCCACCTGTCTCAGAATGAGGTGTGTGTGTGTGTGGGGGGGGGGGTGATTTCTATGTCTGTCTTTGTGTCCCTTCCAAAATCAAAAACCATGGGAAACTAAAGGATATGCCTCTCAACTATCGAGACGGACTCCTATAAAGGCACCCAGGAGCACCCCAGTACCCCATTAAAACACGGCCCACACACAAGACGAACCCAATTTCAGAGTTCATTTTTAATTGCAAAGCTGCCCAGGCTCTGACTCTGCCCTTACTTACCCCTCCCTTCCCTCTTCTTCCTTTCCACCCCCACACGCCTTCTCGAGGTGCAGAATTGGGTCAGGCCAGCCTGGGGCCTTCCGCCAGGAGGAAAAAAAAAGTGTCCTTCCACCACCATCCCTCCCCAGGCCTGGTTCAGTTCGCTTCACTCCAGGGGGTTGGCGGAGGCAGTGAGGCTCTCGGCTGGGCCAGGCTCGGGAGGGGCGGGGGCGCCCCGCACCGTGTGGCCCAGGGTGCCGCCGCGTCGGGTGCTGGACGCCTCGGAGCCGGTGCCTTCCAACAGCTTGGCGATGAAGCCCACGCCGGCCAAGCGCAGCAGGCCGCCTCCGGCGCACGCGTACAGCACGGGGTTCACGCTGCTGCTCAGGAAGGCCAGCGTGATGAGCACTCGGCGGGCCAGGTGCAGCCGCTGCCCCCAGGGCCCCGACCCTGGGGCCCAGCCCGCCAGCGCGCGGCCGGCCTCGGCCAGGTTCACCACGTGGTAGGGCAGCCAGAAGGCGGCGAAGGCCAGGATGATGAGCGCCACCAGGCGGCCGGTGCGGCGGCTGCGGCGGAAGCGCCGGGCCCGCAGCCTGCGCCCGATGTCGGAGTAGCTGGCCACCACCGCCAGGAAAGGCAGCAGGAAGCCGGTGATCGCTTCGAAGAGCAGATGGAAGGCCGTCTCTCTTGCGCTGCCGTATTTGGGGAAGCAGACCAGGCTCCCGTTGTTTTTCGGTACCACGGTGCGGTATACGATGACGGGCGTGGCCAGGAGGACTGACACCACCCAGATGCCTGCCAGCAGCCACCAGGCAACAGCCTTGGTGCGCAGTTTCTGGGACACAAAGGGGCGGGCCACCGCCAGCGAGCGGTCCAGACTCATGGCGGTGATAAGCAAGACGCTGGCATACATGCTGACTCCGCAAACATAGTGGAACAGGCGGCAGCCTGTCACTCCAAAAACCCAGGTGCCTCGGGCCACGGAGTGGAGGAAAAAGGGGGCAGTGAGCAACACGGCCAAGTCAGCCAGGGCCAAGTTCAGCACCAGCAGGGCAGTGACAGAGAGCGTTCGCATCTTTACAAGGATGCTCCACACCACAAAACTGTTGCCCGGGAGCCCCACAGCCAGAGCCACTGATAGTAGGGTGATAGCCATGACACCCAGTGAGGAGGGTGCTGCAGGAGAAGTAGAGTTCGTGGCCATTGCAAGGATCTGGAGGGTGAGGTGGACATGTGCATGAGGGTAGAGGTCCAAGGTTTTCCTGACACCCTAGACACACCTAGCCTGAGTAGTCTAGTCTTTCTCCAAATCAGCAGCATCAGATGCACCCTCGCAATATACTGCCCTCAACACTGCCAACTGACCTGTCTTAGGGGATCTGGCTGAGTAGAAAGACTAATTTCCTAACTTAGCCAAAGGGCCCCTTCCTGCCCAAACACCCAATTGCAAAATACGCAGCAACAGCATCAGTAACATTTCTGGACCCTTTCTGCCTCTTTCCCTTAGGAAATCCTCAAACTCAGAGTCAAACTAGGGGGTTTCCTTACCAATGCTGCACCCCTTAAAAGGCTAACTCCTCTGTCCCTTGCCACGTCCTTAGCCTCCTCAGTCCCATTGATGTCCTCCAATCTCCTACCCACTCTCCCCAGAGCTACCCAGCGTCCACCAGGAATAACGGGGGTGGGAAGGAGAGAAAGGAGAAAAGAACAAATCTTCCCAAGTCCTTTTACCACTGGTCAGGTTCTCTTTGGAAATTCCTTTATACCTTCTCTCATGGCTTCACCCTGCCCCTCCACCACCTTCCCAACTCCCAGGATCCTTACTTACAGGTTTTGCTGGATACTGGTTGGAAGCTGGTGCCAGTCTCAGGATCAGGACAGAGTGGTGGAGTCTATCCCCAGATCTGTCCCAGTGCCAGATGTCTGGCCCCAGGTCTGGGTGGTGTCAGCTAAGTCAGCCAGAGAGGAAGTACCACAGTGCAGGGGAGGGGGAAGACACATCTTCCTAAGGGTGGGGCTGAACTCCTACCCCTCCCTTCACTAGGAGGAAGGATAGTCTTTGTGTTCCAGAAGAAGCCAGCAAGAAGGAAGACCCTCAGAGGCAGGGCCAGATGAGAAGAGCCCAAGAAAGGGAAGTAAGATAGGAAAGAGGGATGCAGAAGTGAGAAGGCTGGGGTGTGGCCTCGTATGCAGGTCTAGACTGGATAATTGAATAGAGTAATAAATTGTGTCATGGAGGAGGAGGAGGAGGAGGAGGAGGAGGAGGAGGAGGAGGGAGGCAAGTCAGAGAGGGGAAATAGGCTTGGATTGAGAGGCAAAATATTGAGTATATTTATAGTTTGTGTGAACAGTACTTTTTTAGAGTAATAAGAAATGTAGGTTAGAGCTGTGGTTAGGTTCCAGGTTTGGGTTGTAACATCATGACTTATAGAGGTCAGCACCTTGTCCTTGGCTTGGGTTCAAGCTTGTGAGTGGAGTTGGGGGCAGAAGTCCCTCTTCCAGCACCCCAATCCCTCCCCTCACTTAAAAGGATTGTCCATTCTAGGTTAATCCATTTTCCCTTCTGTAGAAGCCAAAGTCCAAAGTCAGTGTTAATACAGGATGCTGCCTATTTCTTTTCCTTCCCCCAACCATTTGCCTCTGCTTACCCATGTGGCTACCCTGACACATGAGTTTGGACTTAAAATCTGGGCAGAGGGCAAGGAGGTCAGCACTGCTTTTTTCCTACCTTCCCATGGCCAACTGTCCAGTCCCACCTTAGACATACAGAGAAAGTAGAGGCTGAGCATAGGGTACAGGCATGAGAGAGTAGGGGTGATGATGCTTCATGCCTACCCTGCCAAGAGGAGAAGCCAGGGTTGTAGAAAGGAAAACAGCCTCCCAAAAAGGTCACTCTTTCCTTCCCTCTTCTTCTGGAACTCTCTCGCAGAAACAAAGTACTAAAAAGTCCTTCCTTCAATCTGACCATAAGCCTTCCTGCTTCCCTTCCAACTCTGTCACTCTTAGGAAATTTGCAGTGTAACAGTGGTCGTGGAAGTTCCTTACCCTTTGCAGTGCCCCCACTTTCTCTGCTTTGAGTAAAGCCAGGGCAGATTTCACCTAACAGCTATCAGGCAGAGGATATGAAGAAAAGAAATGGGGGTAAACCACAGCAAGCAGGCAGGGTTGAGGAAGGGCTTTCTGACCACAGAGGGTGTGTGAGATGGGGAATATGTAACAGAGGAAGTTAGGGACCTTCTTCCCCAGTGCATGAAGACAGGAAGAAGCCTCTGCAGTTGATGTTTCAGGATAGAAGCTTCTGACTCAGAGCCCTGGGGTCAGTCAGAGGCCCCTTCCGACATAAACAGGACTGTCTTTGACTCCTCTCCCAAGCTGTTCCCCACATCCATCTCTGTGTGGTCTTTCTTCCTCCACTCCAGACTAGACATTCTGAGCATACCTGTCCCCCAAGTCCAGAGCTCCACCCTCAACCCCAGTTTTGGTGGCCCTGTTGTGACCCTGAGGACTGGGTTTCCTTTGCTATCTCTTGGCATCTGCCTGGGTGATGTGAACAGTTATTTAAAGCAGAATCAGAGGTAACGGTCAAGTTGACCAGGACTTACAACCATCTAGGGCTGCCAGGGACTGAGAGGACTGGGATAAGACTTCCACTGTTAAAACTGGGAAAGTCTTGGGCAACCCAGGTTGAGTTGGTCACCCTGGTGACCACATGTGTGTGCACGTGGCTGTCCCCTAAAAAGAATCCCATCTTGCACCCCAAACTCAAAAGTGTCAGGATCCAGAACAGTTTTGAGGCCTGGAGGTAAAGAAATTCCAGGGGAGGACGGGTAAGGAACAGCTAGCAGTCTGGGGAGGAGTCAAGACTTAGCAGAGAGAAAAGGGAGAAAGGAGAGGTGGCACCTCCCTGAAAAATTCTTCCTGTCCTCGAAATATCCACACCGTTCTTCATATTCCCTCATCTCCAACCCCCAAACGTCCTCTGGGTGAACAAGTGCCTGCCCCTGGGCTCCTTTTGAGTCTGGTGATCTTTAGGGGGAAGAACTGGATTCAAAGAAGAGAAGTCTCAGACTCCCAGGGCCCCTCCCCCATTGCACCAACCACAAGGCAGACAGAAAAACTTTCAAACTCCACAGATTGACTTTCACCTTCCAGGGCCAGTCCCCCTCACCCCACTTGGCTCTTATAGATCCCAGAGAATGGATTCCACATCTAAGCACATACTTTTCCTTCCTCTTTCTCCCTTTACTTACAGAGTTGTTTGTGTTGGCCTGAGGGAACCCGGCCACCTGAGCTGGGGAGGACAGGTCAAGATGCCACTGAAGGCTGGCACTGCTCAGCCTTGGCCTGAAGCAGCAAGGAAACCAGGTGGCTTCAGTACAACTCAGGCATGCTGAACCACCAGAGGAAGAGCACACTTAACCATGGCATAATGGCTGCACAGTGTCTTTCACAATAACTATTGGCAACAAGTTAGCAGCTCTCGCACATGGGCACATGCCGACCTGCAAGGGCACAGTGTTCATTAACATGAACCATCACCCCTGGCAATCCCTTTGTTTGGAGGAAACTGGGCCTGCCCCAGATGTATAATAATTCTGCCCAGACAGAACCGAACTGGTCAGAGGATTCCGAAACGCTCTGGAGTGGTTCTCTGAGTTCTGAGAGGTGATGGGAGGGGATAGGGAAGAGCAGGATTTGGTGTCAAGGGTCCCATTCCTGACTGTCTTTTGCTGCCCCTCCCCCAGGGTCTCCATTGCTCAGGCCCTGCCCCACCACTTTGAGACGAGGGGTAGCTCGGAGCTCCATGGTCCCTTCCCTAGAGCGGCCGCCTCCTCGGGCTTCTCCGGAGCCCTCAAAGAGCCGCGTGAGAAAGCGGGGACCTGCGCGGGGCAGCAGATCCCCAGCGGTGAAGAGGTAGAGCACTGGGTTGATGCTGGAGCTGAAGAAGGCCAAAGCCGTGGTTCCAGCTCGAGCCGCCTGGCCCGTGCCGCCCAGCTTCGCCAGGGCCCCTTCGGGTGGAGCCAGTGCAGCCACGGCCTGCATAACGTTGACCACGTGGTACGGGGCCCAGAACAAGCCAAAGGCGAGCACGATGGCGCTCACCAGCCGGCCCACCCGCGTGCCTTGCCGCCGGGAGCCCCAGCGGGCGCCCCGCAGCCGCGCCAGCGTTATGCTATAGCAGCCGAGCACCAGCCCGAAGGGCAGCACGAAAGCGGTCAGGGTCTCCAGGCTCAGGTGGACGGCGGTGTGGGCCCGAGACGGGTGGCACAGCTGGCACAGGTTGCCCCCCCAGAGGTGGCGGTAGACGGCGGCCGGGATGGCGAGCAACAGAGCGGTCAGCCAGACGGCAAGCAGCAGGCCGCGGGCCAGGGCCGGGCTACGCAGGCGGGGCGCCAGGAAAGGGCGGGTGACCGCGAGGCAGCGCTGCAGGCTGAGCAGGCTGGTGAACAAGACGCTGGCGTACATGCTGAGTGCGCACACGTAGTGCACGGCCTTGCAGCCCACCTGGCCCAGCGGCCACGCCTGCCTCACCAGGAAGGCCACAAAGAGCGGTGTGAGCAGCAACACCGCGCCGTCAGCCAGCGCCAGGTGCAGCACAAGAGTGGCCACCAGCGGTCGCCCCCTCGCGGGCCGCCAGCCCGCCAAGCTCCACACTACGAAACCATTGCCCGGCAGCCCCAACAGCGCCGCCAGCAGCAGGAAGGCTGCGCCTGTGGCCCGTGAGGCCGGTGAGCTCAGCAGTGTCTCGTTTCCTGGGGGACGGTAGCAGTCTGTCATCCTTCTGCACCTACAGGGGGCTGGAAATGGCCACAGAGCGCATTCAGAGGGTGGGGCAAAAGCCACGTTCCCTGATGCCAGGTGAGAGGAACTGTGCCTCCTCTCTTCCCTGCAGCCTGCCTCTTTTCTCTCTGGGAGCCTTGGCTTCTTCCGGGACCCCAGCCCCAACTCCAACACTACTTCTTGGAACCCAAATCCCCTACTCTCGGTCAGCTGACCTCCCCAGTCCTGACTCCCAGGCCGTCACCTCCTCTACCCTTCTTTATCCAGCCTCGTTCCTTATACCTCCGCGAAAACGTGAGTGGCGGCGAGTAAAAGCACTCGGGCAGATCTACTTACCCAGCTGGGAGCTAGCAGGGTGGGCACCCCTGCAAGGGGCCTGGGGAGGCTGAACGGCAAAGTAGCAATGAGCTAGATGCCTACTCCTGTCCTGTGCTGTCAGATTTACAGAGGGTGAGGCGAGAATGGGGAGGGACAAGTTGGGGCCTTTCCTGGGGCCCCTCCCTCACCCTACTCCTTCTCATCACTGACAAGTACAGGCGTGTGAGGTCCTGCCTCTCAGGAAACAGGGTAAACTGAAGGGATGCAGATAAGGTTCCCTGGTCCTGTAGGTGAGTGAGTAGAGACACCGCTGAATCCTGACCCTGGGTCCAGCTGCTGCTCTAGTCCCTCCGCCAGCTCTGGTCCCAACCCTCCCAACCCTGCAGCCCTATGCTTTCTGGCCTGCCTGGTCTGTACTCAACAGAGAAGGTGACCCAAACTACTCACTTCCCCTGCTGCTCTTTCTTTGCCTGTTTTCAGCCCCCTGACCCTGCTGAGCCTCCTTTTTCTTTATTTTTCTAATCCTCACTTGAGGACATTTTTTCATATTTTGGTCAGATAGAATGGGAGGGAGAGAGAGAAACATCAAACTGAAAGGGACACATCGAGTGGCTGCCACCTACACGACCCAACCAGGGCCCGGGACAAACTGCAACTGAGGTACGTGCCCTTAGCGGGAACCGAACCCTGGTCTCTCTGGACCACAGCCTGATGCTTTAACCGCTAAGCCAAACCGGCCAGGACAAGCCTCCTCAGCTTCCGACTTACCTCTCTGGTCTCTTGCCTTGGGCCCTGGCCTAGTCACTCCACCCTCAGGGCTCTTACTGACAGCTTTCAGTGTAAAGCATGGTACTAAGTTCTGTGAGGAATGGGGGCGATGCATGGAGGTGTGAAGGGCATATAACCTGGTTGAGGAGTTATAGCACACACTCATGAGGAGACCACATTACTAGGCTGCACCAGGATACACAACGAGAAAAAAGGAAAGGGTGCAGTGGAAGAGATATGCTGAAAAGAAGCCTTCTCTGGGTGGAGAAGTCAAGCAAACCTTGGAAATGAAGAAATTTGAGGGGACCTGATAGATTGATTAAGTTGAGGGAAGGGGAAAGGCTTCTGCCAGTCAACAGCCAGAACTTGGGGTTCCTTGGGAGCCAGGACACCAGTGTTGTCTCTGTTTGGGTTCCCTCCAAAGCAGAGTCTGAGTTAAGGGCATGGGTGCAGGTAATCCTGTATTTGGGAGATCAGCTTGGGAAGCAGTAGTGAGAGGAGAGAGGGGAGAGAAAAGCCAATAAGAGCGTTATTGAGATCTGGCCGGTGTGGTTCAGTGGTTGAGTATCGATGCATGCACAAAGGTCACCAATTTGATTCCTGGTCGGGACACATGCCCAGGTTGTGGGCCCAATTCCCAGGGCGGGGCATGCAGGAGGAGCCAATCAATGTTCTCTTTCATCAATGTTTCTCTCTCTCTAAAAATCAATAAAGAAAAAAAAATTATATATAAAAAAGACATCCCTTGTCCTGGCCGGGTTGGCTCAGCAGTTAGAGCATCGGCCTGCGGTCCAGAGAGACCCGGGTTCTTCCCACTAAGAGCACGTACCTCGGTTGCAGTTTGTCTCCGGCCCTGGTTGGTCATGCAGGTGGCAGCCATTCATTGTGTCTCTTTCACGTCAATGTTTCTCTATCTCTCTGCCTCTCTCTCCCTCCCACTCTATCTGAGCAAAAAAATGGAAAAGCGTCCTTTGGTGAGGATTAAAAAAAAAAAAAAGACATCCCTTTACAAAAAAAAGTGTTATTGAGCCCTTTCAGTGGGCATAGGAACGTCTAAGACGTGCACAGAATGCCTTCCAGAAGGAGGAGGCACTGATGCTCCTGTTCAGACTTGTAGCCTGCCCTTGTCAGGGGGCAGATTGGACTGCCAAAGCTTCAGATGAAACTTCTAGGCAGGAAAGCAGAGACAATTGCACCCTTGTGAGGTGTTCATTGTCAGTGAGAGTCTGAGCTCCCATACAGCTGTCCAGCACAATTACAGCTGAAATCAGAGATGGAACACGGAGCACCAAAAGCTAAAGTCCTGACGCTATTAAAGGACCACTCCGCCCCCTTTCACATCTCCTTCATGCCCATTAAGTGGCCAAAGGAGAAAAGTGAGAGAGAAAGTGAATAATTCAGTGTGGCTGAAGCAGGCAGAATTAAACCAGAGAAATGTTGAGCCAGCTGCTCCCCGAGAGCACGAAGGAAAGAGCAGGAAAGCAGGAAGGCCAGAGTCCCACACAGCATCCTGGTGACCAATGGAGCAGGACCCATCCTCTTCTCACACCCCTCCCAGACACACCACCCCACCTCCCATTTCTCCAAGCCCTGCCCATGATCCCATCCTCAGCCTGGCCTCCCTTTTCTTAAAGCAGCAGTTTGTGGATTTTTCAGTAGGTGGCAGCATGTACAAATCACGTAATGCAGCTTCTATACCTAGAAATTCCCTCCATACAAAGAAAAACACCAGAGATCACATTCCATCCTCTTACATAGTTCCCATTTACCCTCACATCACATGCTGCCACCAGAGACACACCCACACAAAGCTTCCTTGGCTTTTGCCTGGCAACTCTGGGCCTTAATCCATCTTCCAGGACCCCATCTAGGCCCCTCCTCTTCTCCCTCCACTTGAACTTTGCCCTTCTTACAGGCCAGGCAGCAGGGCAGAGTCCAGGCTTGACTCATCCCACACCTCACTGGGGCTGAGGTCCCAGCTCCGTAACAGAAAACATCACTTCAGCCCAGCACAGCGGAGAACTCACCTGCTCTTACCCTCTACCATGGAGTACCTCTCTGCCCTGAAACCGGGCAGCCTGCTCAGGTGATTACTAATCTTTCTCTCCACTCTCCATCTCTGGGTATAGGGGCAGGGCAACAACACTTCCTTCAGCCCCTAGGAAACTCATGAACCTGTACCCCTTCCCCTCCCCACTCCCACTTTCCACAGTGGACTTGTCCAGCTTCTGAACCACTACCATCCACCTTCACTGCATAGTCTCTCCCTCTCTCCCTAGGCTACTCTAATGCAAAAACCTAAATCCTTCCCTCCCTAACTCTCCAGCCACTCCACCCCCATTTTCCCTATTACACTCAGAAAACCACCTCATTCCTTCCTGACTTTATTTTCCCAACTATCAGGTCAGTATCCAATTTGAGCTCTGAGTTTGGCCGTAGGGTCTGGACTTCAGCTCCACCACCCCAGCGACCTTTCCGTGTCTGTGATCACAAACGGACGACTCGGAAAGGTCTGACGGCTGCCACCCGCCAGGAACTGCTAGACAAGGTGAGTGAGCTATGTCCCTGGATTCCTATCCCAGAGGCAGCCAAGGGGCTCAAGAAGAGTGAGAACTTGGAATGACCAGCAGAAAGGGCTGAGGTTATGCAGCTGCCCCTCCCTCTGAGGACTTAATGTAGGGGGGTGAGCCCAATAATCCCTACTGCATTTGGGTGGGTTTATTTTTCCACCCAAGGAGTGGGCTTTTCTTTGGGGATAAGGGAAGGAGTAGATAGAGAGGGTTGGAGGGGATAGCATTTAGAAGTCAGCAGGGAATGGCGATTTGTGTGACAAATCGAGTTCAAATCCTGATTCTGCCACTTCCTAGTGTCAAACCGTAGGAAATTATTTAACCTATCAAAATGTCAATTTCTTTTTCTTTTTTAAATTTTATTTTAGAGGACATGTATTAAAACTAGGGATGTGAAACAAGGGCTGGGGAAATGAGCCTAGGCTGATCTGCTTAGGCTCACTAAGGAGTCAGAAAAAAGGGAGCCTTGGGGACAGGTTCAGGTTTGCCTTGGATGAACTGCCACTGCCCATTGCTGCCCTGATTGCAAGCCTAGTGGGACCCCTTAGAGTCTGGGACATTTGTGCCTGCGGGCAAAGAAGGGGAGGGGGGGAGGCGTGGGCCTGCTCCTGGGAGGGAGAGCTGGCACTGGGTGAGATCTTGGTTTGGAAGGGTTTTAAAGGCTGGGCATTTAGGGGAGGCCTTAGGGGAGGATCGAAATAGAATATTCATCAGCTTTATGCTGATGTACCAAAATGAGATTTATTCTCTTAACTTTGTCTGTCCTTGGGTGTGCTTGGCAAATAGTACAAATTTGATTTCTGCTGTTTCCCTAAGTAAGATGATTTAAGCTATTTACCCTCTGGTTGGAGAGAAGTCATGTATAAAAAAGGGAATAATGATACACCTCCTTGGGTTATTGAAAGTAAAAGAGGATAATGTATGTAAAGTGCTACATAGATATCTGGCACTAGTAAAGACTCAAAAAGGTTGCCATTATAACTGAAAACAGTTCTGGACAACTCTGTGAGTGGGGGAGAGTGAGGTGGGACATTGAAGATCAGATTCCATCATGTCAGGCCCATCGTGTCTTATACCCCTAGCCTATGCCCACTCCCAAAGGATGGACTTCAGGAGAAACTAGCTAGCTTTTCAATTCCAAACCAGGGGTGGCTTGAAGGGAAGCCCAAGAGATAACGACATGGGAGGGGTGAAGCAGGAGCAAATAGAATAAAAGGTCAGCTCCCAGTGAGGGTCCCCCAGTGGAAGAACTCTGAGAGCTGGAGCCATTTGAAGGCATGCAAAGCACCAGGAAGCCGAATTGGGATATCAACCAGTGTTTTGGGCCAACCAATGGATGCTGGGCAGCTGGAGAGGGAAGGAGCACAAGGCAAGCTCTGCCATTTCCCTCCTGCTTACCACTGGGCAGGCACTGGAGACCCTGCTGCTGAGTGGACTGCTAACCCTGGTGCTAGAGGAGGATGGGACTGCTGTGGAGAGCGAAGATTTCTTCCAGCTGCTGGAGGATGATACATGCTTGATGGTGCTGGAGTCTGGGCAGAGCTGGAGTCCCAGTAGGGTGAGGCCTGTACCGGGGCTACTATAGGCCACCAGTCCTTTATATCTCTCCCAACCCTCTTCTTTTGACTAACCCTCGTCTCGGGGGCAGAGGTGATGAAAGAGGTAAGTTTTCAAGGAGATCTTACAGTGGACTAATAGTCCAGGGTGGGTCTGTCCCACTGCTGATGGGGATTAATGGTGGATGTCATTGAGGGTCCACTTCATTCATGGGTGTGTCCTACAGAATGGGGTGCTGTCATATAGCCTGGGCCGGGAGAAGCCCAAGCACAGTAAGGACATCGCCCGCATCACCTTTGACGTGTACAAGCAAAACCCTCGAGATGTGTTTGGGAGCCTGAACATCAAAGCCACATTCTATGGGCTCTACTCCATGAGTTGTGACATTCAAGGACTCGGCCCAAAGAAAGTACTCAGGTCAGAGACCATCATGTTTTACTTCCCCATTCCTACAGTTGCAGTCCCATAATTCCTCTGCACTCACCTAACCCATTAGCTCTTCCTTGTGGAGAGTCCCCAGCCCCCAGCTCTGTGGCTTCCTCCTGCCCATCTGACTGCCTCTTGTCTCTGCCCTTCAGGGAGCTCCTCCGATGGACCTCCACACTGCTGCAAGGCCTGGGCCACATGTTGCTAAGCATTTCTTCTACCCTTCGCCATGTAGTGGAAGGGGCTGGGAAGTGGCAGCAGCAGGGTCACCTTCATCGCTACTGAGGAGGGGCTCGGAGCTTCTGCCCCAGGAATCATTCCAAGAGATGGCTGTAGGAACTGTGACATCAGGTTTGGGGACCTGTAGACCACTGCAGACTAGATAACTCGCTAGTTTCCCCACTGTCCTTTGACCCCATCAGCATAATGCTTTACACCCCTAGCTTATACCCATTCCTGAAGAATGCTGTCCCTTCCTAGCCATCTTTTCAGCCTCCCACCTACCCTGAAAGACCACAAGCTTGTCCCACGCATCTTTATACCACCCTGAATGCTGCTACCTCTAGATGTACCTACAGTTTCTCTCCCTGAGCTCCCCAAGTGCACTGAAGACAGCCCTCTTGGACTTTACCTTGACATCTCTATTTCTTCATACCCTCCCCCCAAAATAACAGACATTTCCGATAAAAATACAAAAATATTTACCAATAAGACTTTTGACTTCAATGAGTCCAACTTAAATTAGTAAGGAGACAGGACAGACATTCTTTGCCCTCCTCCCCAACAACACCCAGTCCCAGATCCCAAGGCTTCAGTCTTCAAGAATTGAGTTCAAAACCCGCCTCCGCTTGGCTATGGCCCCCTGCTGCTGTTCCCAAGCCTCTCGACGCTTCAGAAAGGTAGTCAGGGCCACATTTCGAGCCACATGGTGGCCAAAGGGGTCTCTTATCAGCTCCTGGTTCCGCTCTCCTGCAAAGGAACCATTCATGTTCAGTATCAGCATGCAGTCACCATTCATGCTTGAAGAGACTGTACTTGAGGTGAAGGTCCATTTTCCCTGGATCCTGGGCCTGCCTTGGGATAGAGTCAACCCCTCACTCTCCAAAGAACAAGCTGGGAGGAGGGGTGGGAACACAGGGCTGCACACTCAACAGAAGGGAAGAGGAGAGCAGGCTGCTAAGCACCATGGCCAAGACCACCCTTTGGAACTGATGTCTCTGCTGAATTTAAATCCATCCCCCAGCCACCCAGCTATTTGGAGTAAGAAAAGGGAAAGTTTGGAAAGGTCAGAGAGACCTGCTGATACTCACCCAGCTCAGCAGCAATTTCCTTCCGGGCCCCCAAGGCTGCTCCTCCCCAAATGGCATCTAACACACGGCTGCCATGGCGACTGCAAGCCAGAGCCACATACTGTCCCTGCATTGAGATAATAAGGTAGGTCCCTCTAGGATAGTCCATGAAAATGTGCTGGGGAGGGCAAGAGGGAGCGGAGTTTCAGATATTTAGAAGCTGAGTTGAAAGAGTCTAGGAAAGGCATATCCTCCCTCTGACTCTGAAGGTCTATTCTGGGGGAAGCTCATGTTCTCTACATGGATAATGGCAGAGGAGTCAAAGCAGAAGCCAGAAGTCTAACCTTTAAGGTCTTGAGCACACGGCGGCGCTGCTTGCGTGTCACAGAAGGGCTGGTCAGGATGGCATCGAGCACATGGGAACCAGCAGGGCTTTGGGCCAGAGAGAGAAGCTGTGGTCCTGTCAAGGCACCCAGACTTCGAAGTATAAGGGCAGGAGTAGAGAAGTGTAGCAGATGCTGTAGCAGTAGTGATCCAAGGACTGTCACTTCCCCCAGGGCCCTGGTTGTGCCCATTTCAACCTGAGGACAGGGATAGGAAATCAAGAGGCAGCCATCAAACTGCCACCTCCACCTGGATGAAGCCAGAGATCTCACCACTCTTGGGAGAGGCTTCCTAAGCCCAGGGAGGCCTGGTCCCCAATCAGTCACTGGTTTGGCCTCCCTGCTACCTCACCTGGTGCTCCGCAGGCACTGCCCCCTCCTCCTCCAGCAGTCCATAGTACACCTCGTAAGTCATCAAAGTGGCAAAGAGAGGCACACAGGCCACTTGCCGGGAAGGGGGCTCTGCACAGTGGAATGCCTAGATGAAAAGACAAAACAATGAATCTGAGAACTGACGTTAACCCCGACTTTCTGGACAAGGGAAAGCATTCAGGAGCAGTGAGAATGCCTAGCTCCATAAGAATGTAAGCTGCATGAGGACAGAATTTCACCTCGATACATGTAACAGGGGTCAATAGATATTTATTTCTTAAATAAACATACCTCTTTGTTCTGGGAGACATTTTTCATTTTAGGACTATGAAATGGCTTTGGCCTCATTTTCCCCGTTATCTGAGAACTCCCTGGGCAATGAATCTCTTGGGTCCACAGATACAATGACTAAAGATTCAGTAAGTCTTAAGAGGTAGAATTCGAACCTAGGGCATAATAGGTTGCAGGTAATACCCACTCACCTCTAACAACAACTGCAGGACTTGGGCTTGGTGAGTCCCAACTCTGCGGCAGGCCCCCACTAGGGCAATGACTACCCCTGGGTGACCCTGTGCCAGCACAGCTTCCAGGGCAGGGCTCAGCTCCTCAAACACAGGGGACAGCTGAGGGGAGACATGGGATAAAGAATCGTTGGCATTCTGGTAGCTGTGGGCTAAGTTATTCAAATAAATCTTTCTACCCAAAACAACTAAAAATGCTAAATAAGGTACAAAAGCATTGCCAATATCAGGACTTCGGTCTGATTGGATAAGAAAGGTCTAGGACAAGGGGGCAGTCTTAGAGGAGCTGCCTCACATAGAGAAGGGACTTTAAATGACCATACTCTTCAGTGTAAAGGAGAACTAGAATCAAACCTGTCCTTCCACCCTAACTCCCAACCCATGAGATCCCAGGGAAACATGCCCTGGCGCTAAGCAGCAAAGGAAAAAAGAAGCTATGGCAATAGCTCCGGTGCTCATTTAGATTTGTAGCCAAGTACTCAGTCTGAGTGGGCCATGGAACCTGAAGCTGCTAACTTGAATTAGGCCAGTCTCCTGCTGGTATTGGCATTTGAAAGAAGCTGAAGCAGCCCAGCTGGTGTGGCTTAGTGGTTGAGCATCAACCCATGCACCAGGAGGTTGCTGATTCGATTCCTGGTTCAGGGCACATGCCCAGGTTGTGGGCCCAATCCCCAGTGGGATGCAGAAGGCAGCCAATCAATGTTCTCTCTCATGGATGCTTTTGTCTCTCTCTCCCTCTCCCTTTTTCTCTCTCTAAAACCAATAAAAAAAAATATATTAAAAAAAAAGAAAGAAAGAAGCCAAAGCAAAGAAGAAAGCACCTTCACCCTATGCTTTGGGAAATTCCCAGGAATAACTTTTCAAGGGGAATAGCCAGCACACAGTCAGAGATACAGAGGTAGGCACACCATAAAATAAAGCCCAATGAACAAGAACAAATAGAAACAACAGTATACAGAAACAGAACCAGCCAAGTTCCCAACTCACCAACTCAGGGGTAGTAACAGCATCCAGTAAACGCTGCAAAGGGAAATTGGCAATAGGATGTGCAGCCAGGGTCTGCAACCGCCCTTGGAAGTGATCCTCAAAAAGGCTCTGGAGCCTTGGGGGATCCAAGACCAGCAGCACCTGCTCCAGGAGTCTGGAGCTCGTCTGATCCTGCAAAAATAGTAATAGGGGGCTGGAGACAAGGAGAAGGTACTTATAACTCCACTCCACTAAAAATACCTACATACCTCATTTATTTCACACAGCCCCATCAACTCTGGTCAATTCTGAAGCCCTGACCATACCTGCCATCTGCTGAGGAATTGCGGTTGCTCAGATAGTCAATCACAGCATTACAGAGGTGGGCACAAAACTGGGGCAGTTTACGATGTAAGATCTGTAAGGCCACTTGAAAGCAGAAGCTAGAGATCTTGTCCGTGATAAACACTGTGGGGAGAGAGCAGAAATAATAAAGCAGCTTTCCCAAAATCCAGACAACCTGCACACCGTCAAACAACAAGGTGCAAGGGACCATGGACAAGGGGTCTATAGAGTCTTTGTAATACCAAATCAGATCAGATTTGAAGACTGTTCTAAATAAGGGCCTTTTTTGAAGATAATCACCACCAGAAAATGAGATCCTAGACACTCCTTCTATTTCCCTCCTTACCAGCAATGTCCTTCAGAAAGCAGGAGCACAGGTCCTGAAGACAATTCAAGAAAGATTCAGGAACCTCGAAATCAGTTGGTTTACATTCCCGAGTTGGAGCCCTTTGCGCTTCTGAAGGAAAATCAAGAGTGTGTGTAGTGATTAGATCACAAACCACCATCCAGGAGGGAGTATAATTCCATAAATCATCAATTTTCAATCTTTTTCATCTCATGTCACACATAAACTAATTACTAAAATTCTTTGGCACACCCAAAAATACATTTTTTGCTGATCTGACCAGAAAAAGGTATAATTTTGATTCATTCATACTGAATGGCTATTGTGTTGGATGCTGTCATTATTTTATTTGTCAATCTAAGGGAAAAGAGGTCAGTGCCACTGACTAAATAGTCAGGTACTGCATGTTTTAAAAATTCTTGCAGCACAACAGTGCGCCATCGCAGCACATGGATTGAAAATCGCTGGCGTAGATGCAGAACACAACTGAGTATTTCTTCTCTTCTCATCTAGATGACTAAATTGAGACTACATTTCTGTTTTAATTTTTCTAAGAAACTTCAACCAGCTCCCCCATGAGAGATATTCTAAACTCCTCAGCCAGAAATTCAAAATGTTTCAAAATCAGACCTTATCTAAATTCTCTAACCTTATTTCCCAGAGTTTTTTTTTTTTTTAAATGAAGGTCACTGCCTATGAGTGCATCATGAAATCAATTTAGTGGATCTCAACCAGCAGCTTTTTAATGGAATAGAGCAGAAAAAGAAAATATCAGGGTAGGTTGCATGTAGTAAGGTATTATTTCCTGATCTTTTGCTTTAATCCAGTATGTGTATAAACACAAATGTACACTGAGTCATGTTTAGCTTTCCCTAAACACACCTAACCTCTGGGCCTCTGTGCACAACAATGTTTGGCCTGCTAGGCCCTGTCCTAATTTCTTTGTAAATCCTTCAAGGTCATGAAGAATTATTCTTCTGCTTACTCTTTCCTTCTGAAATTCCTAAACTCTCCTTTCCTCTAGGTCCACTTCCCTCTTCTGTGATACTTACCAGGTGACTGGGAACCACGGTGTCTGGCCCTCTCAGACTCCAGAAGAGTCCCTCCTAACATCTGCATCAGAGTTCTGACCACGAAGCTGCCATGTGTGTCTCCACAGTAGATAAGAAAATCATCACACACCTCAGAGGCTAGTCCCAGGACCAGCTCCTCCAGGGTCTCTGAGGGAGGATCCTTCCCATCCTCCCCCACCTCCACCTCCTCCTCCACACGGCTCCCCAACAATCGAGGCAGCTGCAGCAAAGCACTTTGCAATACATGGACCCCGCATCGATGACAGGCCACCAAGTGCAAGTTGGAGCGCAGAGTGGCCAATACTCGACACAGAGGTTTCAGGGGACTGAATCCCAACAGTTCCTGCAGCATTTCACTGCCAGTCCTGTTTGTGGCCAAGGCGAGGGCCTGAGCCTCCGCTTCCTTCAAAACATTGTGCACCATCAGCTCTGGAAAGACAAGGAAAGCGATATTTTAAAGAGGCTGCGAGGACTATAAGGGTATGTTCCACCACTTAACAAAGGGGCTGGGAATGAGGAAGAGGATAGAGGAGGTAAAACTAAGTCCCCACGCCCTGGGAACCCAGGAAAATGTCCTTGCCTGTACTGAATTTTATACCCACAAATCCTTCTCTTGGTTCCACCCGGAAGATCCTCCCTACCTCGTTCCTCTCCGGCCTCCGGGGCCTCTTTCAGTGCCGACAGCGCCCGGCGGAAATACCCCAGCGCTTCGGGGCTCAGGTGAGGGTGTGGATCTAGAGCCGGCTCCGAGCGCCCGACCCCAGGCGGGCCGAGTTGTCGCTGGCGGCCTGATGAGGGACGCCCTGGCCCCTTGGCCCCGCGCCCTCGTTTGCCGCCAGCTGGGAGCCGGCGCCTGGCCTTATGGGGGGAGCGCGGGCCCAGCCCCATGGGTGCTTCGGTCCCTCAGCCCGCGAAAGCTACCTCTACACCAGCGTGACAGGGTACACAGCCAGGTGCGCGCCACTCACGGCGGAGCTCAGAAGCGCCGGCGCGCCCAGGGCGCAGCGCACACGTCACAGTCCCGCGACGGCGCCCAGATCGCCCCGCCTCCCGTGTCCGACAGGCCCCGTGTGCTGACTCAGCCCCGCCCCCGCAATCAAAGTTCACGATTCGCAGAACTTTGCGAGTGAGGTGGAGCGAGGACTCCAGGGGCCGCGCAGGTGACAGGTAAGGGACGCGAGTTCCTCCCAGGTAGAGCTCAGAGTCCCAGGACCTTGGCTCACCCCCGACCCAGAAGCCGCGCCAGGGGGCTTGACCTGACGGCCAGGCCAAGGGCCAGAGCTCCAGAAGCCCAGGATTCTGCGTGGACACTCCGCGAGGGTCTGCTGCTCCAGAACCTTCCACCCAGCCAGCCTCACTCGGAGTCCCAGTAGGCGACCCGCCCTGGACATCCCCACCCAGCCCCCTTCTTCACTTCTGGGCATCCCCAAACCGACAGCCTGCCTTTCCCTGGGGCCTGCACCCGGTTGTCCCCCTTCTGAAATTTCTCTCCCTTCAAAACATCCCAATCGTGGCTCCCCTTCCTACCGTTATTGAGGGTCTCCCTTCAATACACAATCTGCTGGCTTCTCAGAGCAAATCTTTGCTTCCACAGATTATACCTCTTTGCTTGTGAAACATACATAATGGCAACTCCCATGATGGGCCAAGTGTGTGTGGTGACTGGTGCTTCCAGGGGTATTGGTCGCGGCATTGCCTTGCAGCTCTGCCAAGCAGGTGCCACAGTCTACATCACTGGCCGACATCTGGACACGCTGCAGGCTGCTGCTGAGGATGTGAGTGCTTCCTCTGGGCCCACAGGGGCAGAAACCACCTGCAGGACCCCTTCCTATTAACCACTCCTCCCAGTCCCTTATCAGAAACCATAATATTCTTCATTGAAGTGTGAATATTTCCTCAACGTGAAAATGAACCCCATAAATAACTTCAGAGCAGGTCAAATTTACCACCAAGTGTTTTTTATTGGAGGGGGGGGCGTGTTTGAAAGCTTTTGGAATTTTGGAATTGCAACTAAATAATTGTGGTTTCCTCTTTTTTAGGCAAGACTTTATTGAACTGTGTGCACTTTTACTTGACTTTTCTACTGGTTTTCGGTTAAATAAATACTTGGGTACACTTGATTCCCTAGTCACAGGGTGAAGCACTGGGGTTACCAAGATTAATAAGATATAACCTCTGCTCTTAAATGCTAGAGTCTAGCCAAAGGCAGAAACAGTTCATTTCAATGTAATGTGAATATGGTAAGTGATGAGAGGCAAATGTGCACAGAATGCTCTGGGATCTTGGGATGGGATTCTAGATGATATGGGAGACTAGTCAGGGAAAGCATTCTGGAGGAAGTGGTTCTTGAACTGAGCCTTGAAAGGTAAAAGGACTTCCAGTCGAGATGGTGGCATAGGTAAGTTCGGTACTTGCCTCCTCCCACAACCACATCAGAATTACAACTAAACTACAGAACAAAGATCCTTCAGAACTGCCTGAAATCAAGCTGAATGAAAGTCCTACAACTATGAAATTAAAGAAGCCACAATGAGACCGGTAGGAGGGGTAGAGGCACAGACCCACACCCACGTGTGGTGGATAAAAATCAGGAGGGATACCTGGGCTGTGAAGGTCCTCCCTGAGAAGTGAGGGGTTCCTGTCCCACACCAGGCACCCAGCACAGGGTTCCAGTGCCAGGAAGAGAAGTCCCAATAACTTCTGGCTGTAAAAACCAGCAGGAACTAAGGCTGAAGAAGGCTGAGGCTGCTGGAGCCCCAGGCAGTTCCTCTTAAAGGGCCTGAGCGTGGACTTACTCGGACTTGCTCCCTCTGAGCTCTAGCGTGGAGGGGAGGCAGCTTGAAAGGCACAAGAGACTAATGGGAACCCTGAGTTGTTTGGCATTGCTGTGAGGGCTGGAGAGGCAGCTTTCTCTCAGACAGATGTGCTGGCAGAGGACTTTGTTCCTTTGGTGAGCCCTTCCCTAATGAGGTCAGCAGACCCGTGCCATATCTGGGACTCCAGCAACCTGGCTCACACTGTTTGCCCTGCTCTGGTGATTCCTTGAGGCCCTGCCCCACCCAACTTTTGTGCCCACCCAAGCTGTTTCCAGTGGCTTTACAATAGGATTGGCCTATTTTCACTCCTGCTTCAGATTTTCCTAAATTCTCTCAAACAAGCAGCATCTGGCTACAGCGAGCCCCATACCTCTCACTAAGTGGCCCCAAGCCTGGCTCTAGAAGCAGCCAGACTTGTTTCACAACTTCACTTTGCCTGGGTACCTCCAAGCCCAACACAAGAAGCAGCCATCAGCAGTTTGCTTTGTAGCTTATGCCTGGTGGTCCCAGGTAGAACACAGGCAGTGGCTGACCTTGCCCCAGAGCCAGCAAACCCAGTGGACAGCTTCAGACCTCATCAAAGCACCACCACCCAACCACCTGCACAAGTGACACACTCAAGGAATGGACTCAGTGGGTACCAGAGCCCTGCTGAAGTAAGTGTTGCTGTGGGTGGTGGGCCCCTGCACAGCTGATCATCCAAGGTAGTCAGAGGTTGGTGGTTAGTGGGAGCTCATCAGCCTGAGTAAAACCTTCCCATTGATGTGCTAACAGCAATCAAAACTCAATTACAACAGAAGGGTATAAAGTCTACACAAGGGGTGTACCTCAAGGGCCCAGCTGGGTGACCAGGGAGGCTGTGCCACTAGACCCTACAGGACACCTACTACAACAGGCCACCCTAGGAAATATAGGAAATATAGCAACTCTACCTAATACATAGAAACAAACACAAGAAGGCAGTCAAAATGAGGAGACAAACATGTCCCAAATGAAAGAACAGAACAAAACTCCAGGAAAATAACTAAATGAAATGGAGATAAGCAATCCAACAGATGCAGAGTTCAAAACACTGCTTATAAGGATGCTCAATGAACTTAGTGAGAATTTCAAGGAACTTTGTGAGGACCTCAAGAGCATCATAAAGGACCAACCAGAAATGAAGGATGCACTAACTGAAATAAAGAGTAATTTACAGGGAATCAATAGTAGAATAGGTGAAACTAAGAAGCAAAGCATCAATTTGGAATATAAGGAAGCAAAAAACACCCAATCAGAAAAGAAAAAAGAATCCAAAAAAATGAGGATAGAATAAGGAGCCTGTGCAACAACTTCAAGCACACCAACATTTGTGTCATGGGAGTGCCAGAGGAGAAGAGAGAGGGCAAGAAACTGAAAACCTATTTGAAAAAATAATGACAGAAAACTTCCCTAACTTGGTGAAGGAAACGGACATACAAGTTCAGGAAGTGCAGAGTTCCAAATAAGATGAACCCAAAGAGGTCCACACCAAGACACATCATCATCAAAATGCAGAAGGTTAAAGACAGAGAATCTTAAAAACAGCAAGAGAAAAGCAGTTAGTTACCTACAAGGGAGTTCCCATAAGGCTGTCAGCTGATTTCTCAGAAGAAACTTTGCAGGCCAGAAGGGAGTGGCAAGAAACATTTAAAGTGATGGAAAGCAAGGACCTAAAATCAAGATTACTCTATCTTGCAAAGCTATCATTTGGAATTGATGGCCATATAAAGAGTTTCCCAGGCAAGAAAAAGCTAAAGGAGTTCATCACCACCAAACCAGTATTATGCAATGTTGACAGGTGGTCTTGAAGAAGAAGAAGATACAAAACATGAACAATAAAATGGCAATAAATACATACCTATCAACAATCGAATCTACAAACAAAATGAGCAAGCAGAACAGAAACAGACTCATAGATACAGAGAACTTTTTGTTGGTTGCCAGATGGGAGGGGGTTGGGTGAAAAAGATGAAGGGATTAAGAAGTATAAATTGGTTGTTAAACTGACAAACCTCAAAGGGAAGTGGGGAGGTGGGAAAGAAAGAAACCAAAGAACTTATATGTATATATGCATAACCAATAGATACAGACAGTAGTATGGGGATGGCAGAAGAGGGGTAGGTGTGGGAAGGGGGCGGGGAAAGGAGGGACATCTGTAATACATTCAACAATAAAGATAAGTTTAAAAAGGTAAAAGTTAGGTCAAAGAAGCTAAGACAACCATACTAGCAGAGGGAACTTTATGAGCAGAGGGGCAATGGTGAAAGAGTGTAGATATTGTGAGAACTCTAAAGCATTTAGGTACAAAGCAAGAATGGTTGGTGAGAGGCTGGAGAGGTAACAGAGAATGGGTTTTAGAAGACCCTAGTAGAGAACTTCAGCTTTATTCTCTAAGAGATGGTGATCCTGTTAGAGCATTTAAAACAGATCTGTGTTTTAGGTAATTCATACTGTGGGGCTGGGGTATGAAGAATTAATTTAAGGCAGAAAGACTAGTGGTCAAGTGAGTACTTAGGAAGCAAGGAGGATGGACCCAGAGGATGGAATAGGAAGCCTGCTCTGCTCTATTTTTTTTTTCCTTTATTGATTTTAGAAAGAGAGGAAGGGAGAGAAATGGAAACACAGATGAGAGAGAACATTGATTGGCTGCCTCCTGCTTGCTCCCCTCTAGGGATTTGGCCCACAACCTGGGCATGTGCCCTGACCAGGAATCAAACCGACAACCTCTTGGTGCATGGGTCAGTGCTCAACCACTGAGCCACACCTGCTGGGTGGAAGCCTGTTCTTGAATAAAGTACTCTTCCTCCTCTTAAGTTAGAGAATGGGGCACATTTGTAGAAGCTGAAATGGAATGGAAAGTAGAAATAGTTCATGCCTGAGAGCTTTGATTTCTTTGTTACCAGGCAGGAGTGCAGGTGGAGTGAGGGTAAGAGGGCTGACATTGAGTAGGGGTTCCACATGAGTGTTGAAAGGTGGGAGCTAAGGGTATGTGAGATGGAAGTTGCCATGGATAAGGAAAAAGATGGGTAGTCATTTCTTGAGAGCAGCCTCCATACCTAATTTGTCCCATACCCTCCACATAGAGTACAATGCCTTGCACATGGTAGGCCTCTTTATTTTATTTTATTTTTTGTTAATCCTTACCCAAGGATATTTTTCCATTGATTTTTATATAGAGTGGAAGGGAGGGGGGAGAGAGAGAGAGAGAGAGAGAGAGAGAGATCAATGTGAGAGAAACACATCAGTTGGTTGCCTCCCACATGACCCTGACTGGGGCTGGGATCAAACCTGCAACCCAGGTACGTGCCCTTGACCAGGAATTCAACCCCGACCCTCTGGTCTGCAGGCCAATGCTCTAACTGCTGAGCCAAACTGGCCAGGGCATGTTTGTATATTTTAAACCTGAGATCCCAATCCACCTTGCTCTAAAAAGGGAGAATCTGGCACTCCTGAAATTCCTCACACAGACATCAGAGGGTGATATTGCCAGCCATGTTCCCTCAGCTGCTGGTTTTGATTCCTATGGTGGCCTTCTCAGCTCCCAAGCTGGGAGTTGAGGGAAGCTGCTTAATATCTACACTCATATGTGACTATGAGCCCATATCGTATCTGTCTCTCTCCAGGCACAGTCCCGAGGGGGCCGGTGTGTGCCTGTGGTGTGTGATTCAAGCCAGGAGAGTGAAGTGCGAAGCCTGTTTGAGCAGGTGGATCGAGAACAGCACGGGCGTTTGGATGTGCTGGTCAACAACGCCTATGCTGGGGTCCAGGTACCCTTTGAACTGTCATCCCAGCTCCACACTCCTGACCTCCTACTCTGACCCGAGTCTTTATCCCCACTCATAGTCCCTTTCATGATCCAGCCCCTCATACCTTCCTGCCTTCAGGCCATCCAATTCATCACTCTCCCTGTGTTTTCCAGATAATCATGGACAACCACAAGAAGGCATTCTGGGAAAGCCCCGCCTCCATTTGGGATGATATCAACAACGTCGGACTCAGGTAGGTGTTCCCCCTGCCCCACTGCAACGACCTGGGCTCCCTTCACTCACTCAGCCAGGCTTAGGGCCCAGATCTTTCCCCATCCCTTTCCTTTTCCCTCTGAGCTCCCATCTCTTTCTTCCTTTTGTCCCATTTGTCCCACTCAGCTCTGGAGAAGTTCCATCCAAGTGAATCTGTACCTGGGAATGTCAACTTCTATCTTGTTTCTGTCAGTAATTTTCACTTGACCTTGCCCTTTGCCTCTCTCCTGCCTCACTCTCTGCCTATCCAAATGCATGACCCAGAAAGGAGACCTCCTTCCCTCAATCATTCACACCACCTGTAGCCAATATTCCAAAAATGATTAGAGAAAGAAATTGTTTTGTTTTAGACCAAGAGAAGGTCAATAACAAAGAGTGAGCACCAGCCATCCTAGCCTCCAAATCCTCACTCCAGGCCCTTAGGCAAGGGCACTCCCAGGTCAGAGCTGGGAGGGCAGCGGTGTCACAGGGTTACATGTACATGCGGTACAGGAGTGAGATGAAATACAGCATTTAGTTTGCTCAGCATGATAATCACCAGTCATGTCTGTGTTTATTATTTTTGGAGCTACACCCTCATAAACGACACTCCCTGAGTATGACCTGTGGGAGTAACTAAGATAGTATCTGCAAATCTGAGACTAAAGTGTATGAGAACACCCATGGCTTCTAGTGGCAATCACAAAGAAGCAGAATGAGAATCCAATTGTGATTTCAAAAGCAGAAGAAAGATCATGAGAACAGAGAGGGATGGTTAGCCAAGAGACAAGAAAAGAAAACCCGAACAGCTGGAAATAGGCAGTGCCCACATTCTTAACCTTCCAAATAGAGGGGCCTTTCCCACTCATCTCTTGCTGGTCAGTGTTTTCAGCCTAGAAGGCAAAGGCCCAGGCCTGACAAATTCTCCGAAGTCAAGGTCACTGTGAGCCTCTTGAAGCCCACCACCATCTCCTCTCACCCCACACACATTCGATACACATTTACTGTGCCTTTCCTCTGCATTACCGTAGGCTGGGATTCCTTTCAAAACCATAGCTCTCTCAACTTGTTTTCATTTGGAAGTTCCTGTTTCCTATGCAAAAGAAATTTATTTTGTGTATATATTTTTTTATTATGTGAAAATCAGTATGATCTTACTCTTTCGTCACCACCCCTTCCTCCCTTGACTGAGCTATAGCTACTGTTGATAATCTAGTATTCTGCCATTCTTTTGAATATTCGAGTTAGAGTAGCTTTGTCCCATGGACTGAGAGGTCCTGGTTTGATTCCCAGTCAGGGCATATGCCCTGGTTTTGACTCGATCCCCAGTAGGGGGCGTGCAGGAGGCAGCCAGTCGATGTTTCTATCTCTCTGTCCCTTCTTGTCTCTCTAAAAAAATCAATAAAAATATATTTTAAAAAATAAAAAGATTTAATAAACATTACCAAACTGTCCTCCAAAATGACCCCACCAATTTATAAATTCATGCCAAGGAAGGAGAATATCTTTTCCATGTCCTGAACTGTGCTAAACAATCAGGCCACTCAGGCAGGCAGGCTTTGCCACTCTGATAGGCCAAAGATAGCCATCCAAAGGTGGTTTTCATTCATACCTTTTTCTTTGTGAAGTTGAGCGTTTTATTCATTTATTTATTGGCTCTTTATTCTTTTTTTTTTTTTTTATAGTCCTTTGGTTTTATTTTCTGGGATTAAAAAAAGTATAGGCATAAATGTTTTTACATGATCCTCTTGAAGATATCCTTTAAAATAATTATCAAATGGCTTACTTCATGTCTCTTGGTTATCAGGACCCATCAATGTCACTGTCAGCCTTGATTAATTGGTGGAAAATTTCAGAGAAGTAACTTATGAATGTTTTCCCAATCCCTCAGAATCATAATCATCACAGAAATATTTCATCCTTTTGTCATACACCTCTGGAAAGCAGATGTGCTCGCTCATTGTTAACAGGACAGGAAGCGGTATCATAGAGGCTTCATTGTGTAAATTGGCTTCCACCTGAAAATCACAGATATAAGCCAGCAAAAAACCAAAGAAGGAAGATGACATAGACCATTCTGTTGCTATAGTGATCATGTGAAGCACATGACCTTTGCCCTCGGGGTTCCAGTGGAGTTTCTGTACTATGTCTGTGCCCAAACTGCCACTGTACAAGAGTGATGAGCAAGTCAGCATGCTGAATGCACCTTCTTCACACCAGGTGACCAATGGTAGTCTGATCCCAAAGATTTGTTTGCCATGAATTCTGGGCTGCATTTGGTAGGAAAGGATGGTCTGAACAAGCATACACAATGAGCCCATACCAAAGGTGAGCACAGCTCCACGTACACGTGCAGTTAAAAAGGTTGTTCTCCGGAAGTTTGCCACATAGAAAGTCCTAAAGAACTCAGCAATCCAAATATAAGGCCAGCCCGTTTAATCTAGTGGTACATTTCCCTTTAGGATTCAGAGTATGAACTTGCTTATAATGAACGTAAATGGTGGGAACACATAAAACTGGCGAAATTTAAAAAAAAAAAAAAAAAAACTGGCGAAATTTAACATTGCCCCAAACAAGCACTTTTCTGGAGCTACTTGTACCAGTGTCACTGATACAAGGCAAAGCAAGGTCAACATGGTGGAGTTACAGCAGTAATGTATGAAAATATGAAAGCAGCAGCCATCCAAATGAGAAGGGCTGAAGGAAGGAAACTGAGGCCTTGCTGAGACCACATCTCAAACAGGTCTTTGTGACTTGCTTGTCTGGTTTTGTCTTCCTCACTAAACTTCTAAGTTCTGTGAGAGCAGGAACCAACTGTTCTGTCCACCATTTTATTTCCAGCTCCTGTTTTAGTTATCAGTCTTCAAATCTACCCAAACCTGCCCCTTGTGTGGATCCTGTGTTCTCTGCTTTCTTGGATGATCAATGCATCAGAACTGCAGTTACAATTTTTAAATTTCATAAATATCTCAATGCCACTGGTAATAAGATGAATTCCTTATCTAAGTGGTGACTGCTTGCTTGGATGAGCCTCCAGGGCTGACTATTAGGTCCAGAGCCTGTAGGCTGGATGGAGATGGGGCGGCTCCAAGGGCACACTCCGCAGCAGCCAGGCCAGACCCAGGGTGTGTCACTGCCCGAGGACCATGCCTGCGCTGCTGTTCATTCCGGCTGCCTGTTTATTCTTTTGTGAGTTGTGTTATTTTTTTTTTAAATAATTTTTCTTTATTGATTTTAGAGAGAGAGGAAGGGAGAGGGAGAGATAGAAACATCGATGAGGGAACATTGATTGGCTGCCTCCTGTATGGCCTCCACTGGGGATCGGGCCCACAACCTGGGCATGTGCCCTGACCAGGAATTGAACCAGAGACTTCTTGGTGCATAGGTCGATGCTCAACCACTGAGCCACACCAGCCGGGCATGTGTTATTTATCCTTTTTACATCAATTTATAAGATTGTAGAATAGATTCCTAAGATATGTTTTACAAATATTTTTTTCCAATTTATTCCTCATTAATTTGCATTCATGCTCTCCCCAACTCTCCATATACATAAACATATAGATGTATTTGTACATTTATATATATGTCTTAAAGTCAAGTAAGTCTATCTTTTATATTTCCTATCTTGGTGTGATGCTAAGTCAAGCCTTCCCCACCTCAAGTTTATGAACATATTGTCATACTTTCTTTTAATGCTTTTGTACATTCATTTTTTTATATTCAAATAATTCATCCTTTTGGAATGCATTTTTAAATCAAAAGTGAAGTACACAGCTAATCCCATCTACCAAATAAGTGGCCAGTTGTCCCAAATTCATTTACTGAATGATCCCTCTTTCCCTGTTGATTTGAAATGTTCCCTTTATAATTCACTGAATTCTCATTTATACTTGGATCTAATTGTTGACTTTTTTATTTGACTATCTGTGTGTTGTTATATTAGCACTGCATTCTTTTTTTTTTTTTTTTTTTTTTTAATCCTCACCCGAGGACATTTTTCCATTTTTTGTACAGATAGAGTGGGAGGGAGAGAGAGGAAGGGAGAGCGAGAGAGAAACATCGACATGAAGGGACACATCGAGTGGCTGCCACCCGCACGACCAACCAGGGCCGGGGACAAACTGCAACCGAGGTACATGCCCTTAGCGGGAACCGAACCCGGGTCTCTCAGGACCGCAGGCCGACGCTCTAACCGCTGAGCCAAACTGGCCAGGGCAGCACTGCATTCTTTTAACTATTATGCTATTGTACATTTTAATATGGGGTGGCAGGATGGGGGAGCATATTCCCCACCCACAGATACTACTCTTCCTTTTTCAGAAATTTCCTCACTATTCCATGTTTATTCTCATTGAGCTTTAGATTATTCTGTCAGTTTCTCCAAAAGTCTTATTGAGATATATCTCAAATTGCCTAAATCTATGGATACTTTACGTAGAACTGATGTTTTACATGTTGATTCTTAATAAGTTACGCCTGCACTTGTTCTTTTACTCTAGACAGAATTTTATAGTTTTTCCATGCAGATCTAATATACTTGTTTTCCCCCAAGCTACATTAGATTTGTTATTGCTATTATAACACACCTCTTTTCTTCCATTACATCTTCTAGATGTGGCCATTTATCATCCTTCAATGGTTAATTTTACCAGTGTTCCTCTCAGAAGATGGCCTTAAGTCCTCCCTCTATTTTCTAGGTCTTCAGCCACCTCTACGCCACCTTCCCCTAGCTGACGACAGCCACTAGAGGGCAGAGGTAGCTGCCAAGGTTATAGTATACCCTGGCCAGCAATGAACAGGGTCCATTCCTTCCTTGTCCCACTTCTAGAGGCCACTACTTGTGCTCAGTGTATGGGGCACGGCTGATGGTACCAGCTGGCCGGGGACTCATCGTGATAATCTCCTCCATTGGGGGGCTGCAGTATCTCTTCAATGTCCCCTACGGTGTGGGCAAAGCTGCGGTAAGAACCCAGTGGCACAGAGGTTGGGGAGGTATAGGACAGTGACAGTACCCATTTAGCTCAGGATATAAATCCCCAGTGGTCAGAGTGGTAGGCCATCTAGCCATCACCTCTCCTTCTGCCCCTCCATGGACAATTCCTTCACCTGGGCTCCTCTCTGCTGGCCAAAGTAAGTAGTGCACTGGGAGAGGTGGGCAGCTGAGACAGAGCGCCTGGGAAGGGCATGGGACTGGGACATCCTCAGCAGAAGCAGGGAGGGCAGGGAAGGAAGGTGACATGGCCAGGTGCCCTGGCTCTCACTCTGACATCAGTCTCTCTACAGTGTGACAGGCTGGCTGCAGACTGTGCCCAGGAGCTGCGGCGCCATGGGGTCAGCTATGTGTCTCTGTGGCCAGGGTTGGTGCAGACAGAACTGCTGAAGGACCATTTGGAGAAGAAGGACAATGCTGAGGATCCCCTGTTTAAGCAGGTTGGCAAGGTGGTGGAGAATGCAGGGGAATCAGGCTCTCCATCCTCAATGTCAAGACAGTAACAACAGCAAGGAGTAAATACCTGGGTATTTACCATGGCAGTAAATTATGGGGCTGGGCACTGTACATATGTTAAGTCCTTTAATTCTGTAAGGGAGATAGCATCTTCTTTCTAGAGTGAGACTGAAACCCAGAGAGGTAAGAAACTTGTGGAAGGTCATGGATGCCTTAAGTAAAAAGGCTGTCCGGCTCCACAGCCCATGGTCTTGACCCCTACATGGCACTAACCAAGAAGGTCAACATAGCTGGCTTCCCCAGATCCGTCCACTTAGGAAAGACAGTGGGTCCTGGCGCTGGGGTACAAGACTCCCCAGGATGTGGGAAGAGTGGCTCCAGCACCTTCCAAGATGCTGAGTCCCACAGGGGCAGGGATGAGGGCCTCTGTTCTGGAACAGAAGCTGAAAGCAGGGAAGAGACTTGGGCAGTGCTCTGGGAAATCAACCCTCATTTCTCTGCTCTTCTGTTTCAGCTCAAAGATCATTTCTCATCCGGGGAGACTACAGAAATGAGTGGCAAATGTGTGGTGGCTTTGGCAACAGGTGAAGAGGTTGGGGCAGCTGGTAATATGAAAGGGCCTAGAGGATCTGCAGAGTGGTGGCAGCTAATTCTGGGTCCTGGCTCAGGAGATGGTTGAGGAATAAACCCTTCTTTTCTCTGGCTTCTGGACAACCCAAGGGTCAGGACTCCCGTTTTGAGGATTGGGGGCGTCAAGAACAAGCTCCTAGGAGGTGTGGCCAAAAGCTAGAGGCTCAGAAACTTCCTAGGAACAGAAGAGAAACAATTCTGGGCTCCTAAGCCTGTCTCAGTGGTGCCCTGTCCCACTGGACACCTACCTTGTCACCCTACACCACTCCCATGCCATTTCAATGTATGTGTGCTCACAGATCCCAATATCCTGAGCCTGAGTGGGAAGGTGCTGCCATCTTGTGACCTTGCTCGGCGCTACGGCCTTCGGGATGCAGATGGTAAGAGCTCTAGCCCAGCAGCCAGCCTGGACCTCTCTTCTTTTGTTTCCTGCTCAGTCCTTCTCCCTCACTCTCTCCCTGTCCCTTCTTCCCACTCAGTCTCTTCAGCCAAGGTGGAGGTATCCCAGGAGTGGGAAATGAGTGTGTAATCTTTCTTCTTCCTGTTGTCCTCAGGCCGCCCCATCGAGGACTACTTGTCTTTGAGTTCGGTTCTCTCCCACGTCTCCAGCCTGGGCTGGCTGGCCTCCTACTTACCTGGCTTCCTCCGTATGCCCAAGTGGATTATGACCCTCTACACAAGCAAGTTCTAACCCTCCTGGCCTGATGTCACCACTCTGCTTGTCTTTTTATTTGGACTGGGTGGCCGGGACCATCTCAGTGAACAAGGCAGGCAGCCTTCCCACCGATCACATGCCTCAATACAAAGAAGGCCTCCGCTGTGCATCCTTGGCGAGCCCTGGGGTCTTGCAGGTCCTCCTCGGTGCCTTGGTGCTCCTTGTCCCTAAATTTTACTTTTTGCTTAAGTATTGAAAAATGTGCTAGGTACTAGTAAAGATCTCATTTCTCCTTCATCACATGTTTGAGTGCCGAGTCTGTCCTAGGCCAAGTGTTAAGTACTTGAAAGACTCAAAGACATACAGAATATTTGGGTTCTCAAAGAGCTCCACCCTGGGACAAGACCCCTTCCCCCAGAACTGCTCCTGCTCTTCCCTGGAGAACTGTCCATCTCAGGGGCACTGGCCCTTGGGCTGGAAGCCCTGTTTGTCACGCCCCAGCTGGGGAGCAGGGCCCCTCCGCAACCAGAAGCAGGCACCCCTCAGTCCCACACTGCTTCCCTGCCCCTTCATTCCACCCTCTCTTCAGAGATGCCTCCTAGCTGGGCCTGATCCAGTGAAGGCACTTTCCTCGGTGTTGGTGATTTTCTGGAATTTGGCAGGAAAGTACTGCCCAAGTTCAAGTGAGGGGGCAAGGAACAACTGATGGTGCTAATACACTCTCATCTCTCCTTTGGGATGATACCACCTGAATTACTTTCTGAAGAACTTAATTGTAAGAGCCCCTTAGGGCTGCCTTGCCTGCTCAGGGGGCTGTCCCAGCCCGAGGCAAGGCAACAGAGGGTGTGATCCAAAGAGGAGCTGAGGACCACACTTGAGGAGCCTTCCAGCCAGCAGCCTGGATGGCCACTGAGGTCATGGGATAGCTGCTGTAAATCGGTTGGGCAAAGACCATCTCCAATCTTCAAAATGGCAGGGTGGCTCCCTCCCCCCTCTCCCCTTCCACTGCCCACTCCCCACCTCCTTCCTCCCTCCTCCCACCTCCTGGCCAAGTAAAGGCGGCACTCGGCTACTGCTGTGGAGCCCACTAGCCTGGAGCAGATAATGCTAGAGCTGCTGCTGCCACCAGATACCAAGCACATCCGCTGGGCCACCGAGCAGCTCCAGACCACTCTTTTGGACCCTGCCACGCTGCCCATGCTCTCTAACCCACGGGCCTCGGTGGACGGTGGATCCTCAGACAACTGAGCACCCACTGGCGACGGCTGGTGGCAGAGCACCAGGAGAGTCTCAAGTCCCTGGTCCTAACAACCCTCCAGAGAGACAGAACACAACGTGAGCCTTAGCCAGGCCCAGTTCTCAGCCACTATTTTTCGGAAGGAAGGCCTGGAGGCCTGGAGGCCTGGCCTTAGCTCTTGCAGCTTCTCCAGCACAGCCCCCACAGCCCTGAGAGAGAGGTGGGGCTTTTGCTGCTAAGTGTAGTGGTGACCTCCCGGCCTGAGGCCTTCCAGCCCCAGCAACCGGGCGCTCCTTCGGCTTCTGAATGAGACCTGTGGTGAGGTGGGCTCTTCTGGGCTTTTCTACTCTGCTACGCTGACCACCAGCACTGGTGATGTGTTTCTGGTGAAGATGTTAGTACCTAAGCTCATCATGGCTACGCAGGCTCTGATCTCTTCAGAGGTGCCTGCCATCACCTCCCACCCCGTCTGAGATCCTCACATTCTGCCTGGGGGTGGCTGGAAACATGGCCCTGGGCGATGCGGTTTGTCTCACTTTTTTGGTCCAAGTCAAGAGCAAGACCTTACTGAAGAATCATCTGCCCCCCTTGCTGCACACCTTCTTCCCCATTATGGCTGCTGAGCCCCCTTTGAACCAGCTGGATCCTGAGGACCAGAGCTTGGGCTGGTGGGGGAGATACCCAGGCACTTTGCTTTACAGGTTGTGGACACACTGGCACTACATTTGTGTCCTGAGTAGCTCTTTACCCCCGCTGAGGCAGAGACTGCTGCCCCCACTACTGCAGATTGTGTGCGAGGGCCTGGAGGACCCCTCGCAAGTTGTGCGGAATGCTGCGCTGTTTGCCCTGGGCCAGTTCTCAGAGAACCTGCAGCCTCATAGCAGCAGCTATTCGGGGGAGGTGATGCCTCTGCTCCTCGCCTACCTGAAGTCAGTGCCTCCTGGGCACATGCCACCTAGCCAAGGCCTGCTATGCCCTTGAGAATTCCATGGGGAACCTAGGGCCTAAAGTGCAGCCCTACCTTCCAGAGCTTATGGAGTATACCCAGCAGCCCCCGGGCCAAGGAGCTGGCTGTGAGCGCCCTGGAGGTCATTGCCACGGCTGCCCAGGCCTCCCTGCTGCCCTACTTCCCCACCATCATAGAGCACCTGTGGGAATTCCTGGTGACAGGCCACGAGGACCTTCAGCCTTTGCAGATCCAGAGCCTGGAGACGCTGGGGTGCTGGCACGAGCAGGGGGGAGCCATGAGCCCTCGGCCGAGGAATGCTGCCAGCTGGGCTGGGCCTGTGTGACCAGGGAAACGTGTGGGGCTGCACATATAGCCTGTCTGCAGCTGTTCTGGGGCTGATGGGTGGGGGTTGGCACCCTACCTGAGACACATCACACTCATGCTGTTGTCACTGCGTTCCACTGAGGGCTCTGTGCCTCGGTAGGATGGTAGCAGTTCCTTCTGTTTGATGATGAGAGTGATGGGGGGGGGGGGGCGACGACTCAGAGGTCTCAGGGCACAGTGTGGAGAATGCCTTCTTCAATGAGAAGGAAGACACCTGTGCTGTCCTGGGGAAGAACTCTGGGAACACCAGTGTGCCGTCCTTCCCGACATGGAAGTATCTTTGAAGAAGTATTCAAAGCTCTGGAGTGCCCTCGCCTGAGTGTGCGTAAGGCAGAGCGTGAGGCCCTGGGTCAGTTCTGCTGTGCGCTGCACAAGCCCTGGCAGAGCTGCCCCTCAGAACCCAACACTGCTGCTCTGCAGGCCGGCCTGGCCCAGGTGGTGCCGTCCCGCGTGCAGGCAGCATACGGGGAGCGGGAGCGCCGAGTGGTGACGGTCGTGCTGGAGGCCCCAACGGGTGCAGTGCAGCGGTGGGGCTCAATACAGGCACCTGGGCGCCTCACCGAGCTCTGCCACATGCTCAAGGCCGTGCTGCAGAGGAAGACAGCCTGACAGTACACTGAGGAAGAGGAGGACGAGGACCAGGCCGAGTAGGACATCAGGCTGAGTAGGACACCAGGTTGCTAGAGTACACTGCTCAGAACATTCCTGCCTGGGCAGCTGCGGCCGGGGCAGATGCTTTTGCCCCCTTCTTCGCTGGGCTCTTGCCATCATTGCTCTGCAAAATGAAACAGGGCTGCACAGTGGCAGAGAAGTCCTTTGCAGTGGGGACGCTGGCGGAGTCCATTCAGGGCCTGGGTGCTGCCTCAGCCCAGTTTGTGTCCCGCCTGCTCCCCGTGCTGCTGAGCACTGCCAGGGAGGCCGACCCGGAAGTGCGGAGCAATGCCATCTTCGGGCTGGGTGTGCTGGCCGAGCACGGGGGCCGCCCTGCCCAGGAGTATCCTCAGCTTGCAAGAGTAGCTGGGGTGGGACTGGGAGAGTGTCCCTGGGCTCAGGGATGGAAGGGTGCCTTTTCCTTGACTGTGGACCAGATACTTCTCCAAGCTGGTGGGGTTCCTGTTGCCCCCCCCCCCCCCGCACTAGAGCATCATGATCGTTTCCATGACATCTGTGGGGCACTTGCCCGCCTACTGATGGCCAGTCCCACAAGGAAGCCAGAGCCCCAGGTGCTGGCTGCCCTGCTGCACGTCCTGCCACTGAAGGAGGACTTGGAGGAGTGGGTCACCATAGGGCACCTCTTCAGCTTCCTGTACCAGAGCAGCCCTGACCAGGTTGTGCACGTGGCTCCTGAGCTCCCGCGCATCCTCAGCCTCATTCAGGCTGACGACAGGACCCCTCCACCTGGGTCTCACTGCTGCTGCTCCTGACATTCTTGGCCAAACAGCACACCGACAGCTTCCACTCGGCACTGGGCTCACTGCCTGGCGACAAGGCTCAGGAGCTCCAGGCCATCCTGGGCCTCACCTAGATGGGCTGCAGCTGGGCCAGAGAGAACAGCCTGCCCGGGCCCCAGACCGCCTCTCAGCCCGTTCCACCTCATGCCTTACCAAAGATTCTGGAGTCCCAGCCCTGCTTGCTGCCCTATGGGCTGTCCCTGGGGCTGGATCTGCTATGCTGTGGGACAATACAAATGGATGCATGAAACATACCATAATAAAGGCAGTTCATTTCCCGCTTAAAAAAAAAAAAGGCAGGGTGAAAGCTGAGGCTTCCCGAGGCTGCCCACAGTATCTGCACCAGCTGCAGTCCTCCTGCGGCTTTCTGGGGACGGCCCTGGTTACTGTTTCTTCGGTGTGCTGGGGCAGCTCACCGGCTTGTGAGAGCCGACCATACTCAGTTCTGCCGAGTCTGCAGTCAGCGATTCATGGTGGTTGCTTGAAGTCGGCCGTAGTGAGGGTATACGTATATATACCAAAGAAATGAACAAAAGCTACCAATCAGGGCTTGTTTTTATTTTGAGAGAGAGAGAGAGAGCTGGCTTATCACCATAATTGGAATTGTGTATCTAAACCCCACCATTTTCCCAGGCACCCCATTTAAATCACAATGATCAGACTTCCTCACCACACTCTCACCCCCTTCCACTGACCAACCTAAATTCCCGTTATCCCCTGAGGTTGGTGAGAGCAGAGGCAGTCGCCTATGCGCTCCAGTAAGAATAAGGGCCTCAGGCTCTCCTCCAGCCTTCCACAGCCTCCATTAAAAGCCATCAATGGAACAAATCTTTGTCTGCTGGCCTTGTCTCCTAAAGGCCACAAGGTGTGGAAAGAACAAGATCTTAAAGTCATCCAAATCTGCATATAAATCCTGACTCCACCTCTTTGGGAATTACGTGAAATAACATATATATAGCACCAAGCAATTTATAGCTGCTGAAACAGTCAATTCCTTCTCTCAACAAATATTTAAGAGCCTCCTCTGCACCAGTCACCCTTCTTGGTGCTGGGAGAGCAGAGAAAAAGACATACTGTGTGTGCCCCAGCCGACAGAGGACTTTCATTTCCGCCCTGGAAGAGCTCAGAAGTCCTCTACACCTTCCACTTCGTGAAAGAAGTGAGCACACTGGGCCTCCCAGAGTCCACACCACATGAAATTAGACCTTAAATTTCTGGTATCCCAAGATAGCAGAAGGATCCGTGTTCTTTATATTCCACCATCCTGCTTCCCTCC